CCCCCCCCCCCATCCCTCATTGGCTGCCAGGAATCCTGTACCTGCCGGTCTCTGCCACCTCGGGCTACAAACAACATGCCAACGCTTCCACAGCCAGGTCCGACTCTGAACCACGCCTCAGCTTTTATCAGCCGGTTTCTAACTGCTCCAGCAGGAAGCAGAGAGCTAACCCTAACCCTAACCCTAACCCAGACTCAGGCTAAGGTTTCTGCCCTGGAGGGATGGAGCAGAAATCTCCATCAGCTCTAAACCACCAAACTCTGGAGCACGCTGCTGGATCCTGGCTCAGAAACAACCACTGAACAACCAACCGGAGAGCCCCTGTCTCCCTGTTTTAAACAGGTTTAGGGTTAGTCAGGGTTAGGGTTAGCCCCCCTTAGCCCTGATGGACCTGGATGAGTGGGTCCTGACCCCAGTAAAACACCTGCAGGCCCAGAGGAGGCTCTGGGTTAACCTTAACCCTAACCCAGCACCAGGCCGGGTCATGGCTTGTCTACATAACATTAACCTTCCAAGCAACTTCCCCAGACAGCTCACACTGGCACTAAACACACACACACACACAGACACACACTAAAACACACTAAAACACACACACTAACACACACACACTGTATCGATCAGCTATCAGCTATATGGTCAAACTGAATGACCCTGAACCCACATTTGAGCTCCTGACCATCGTTAAAAACTCCATCCTGTATGAGTTACTGGATCCATAAAGGCTAAAGGCCTGAAGGATCCAGAGAAACGCCACGGCCAAAAGGCCTTACAGCCAGGTGGGAAATCCAGGAAAGCACTCAGGGACTTCTACAGACTTCTACAGGCTGATTTACAGATTTAGGCCTTCATTGATTTCCTTAATGGCTTTTCTCCTCCATTCAGTCCAACAAACGGCCTCCAGGTGAACATGCTGCCTTTATTATCAGGGAAACTAAAATGTGAGCCGAAGCTCACCGGTTGCTCAATGTTCCCCTATCAGAATCATAAGAACCTTATAACAGACCTCTCAACAGACCTACCAATAGTACCAGTCCTACCAATAGTACCTACCAGTCCTTTATTGATAGAAGATGTCTTCTAAATATTGCCTCACTTCCTTATTGACATTCGTGAGTCTGTGGTCTCTAATCAGCCCTGAATGGGCTTATCGCTCCCACTTTTTCAGCATGGAGCTACTTTTGAAATGATCTACCCATTATATTTATTGAGAAATATATTGAGGATTCTTACAACCTATGTTGATGTATATCCACATATGTTGCACAACACAACATAATTATGGACATTTTACTTGGTTACATATTACTTGGTCCAGCTCCCCCGCTCACTTTCATAACATATCTTACGTTTAAGAGGAGAAAACCGAGAGAGAAATTAGGATGTAACTAAGGACTAGCTTGTTAGCTTAGCTGTGCTAAGGGGCGTTGTTTGACCTAATGACCTAAGTGTACGGAAAAAATCAGATGTCGTCTGACTGGTTGTCCTGTGTATCAATCATAGGCTGACGTTTAGTTTTTATTCAAAACAACTCAACTTTATTTGTATAGCGTCAGTTCATGACAATGTCTCCTCACCTGGTCATGTGATCTACCGATAGCACCTGGAGATCCACTGGTAGATCGCGATCTACGTATTGAACACCCCTGATCTAGAGAGTGGTGGAGTCTGAGTGGGTGGAGCTCCAGGTGGGGGTCCAGTTTGGACCTAACCCTAACCCTAACCCTAACCCTTTGGGGTTTCTTACCTTGTTCCAGCCTGAACAGGGTCCGTTCTAGGTTCTCGCTGTCGTTAAGCATCAGGACTCTGATCTGCTTCAGGTGCTGAGGTAACATCATGAGAAGATCTCCTCAGATTGAAGGGACCTCTGATCTCCTGTCAGAGGAACAAACATCAGACACAGCTTCCTGAAATAAACCCTAACCCTAACCCCAACCCTAACCCAGAAACACAACCCTAACCCTAACCTCTGATCTCCTGTCAGAAGAAAGAAGCATCAGACACAAAACAGACACAGCTCCCTAAACACAACCCTAACCCTAACCCAGAAACACAACCCTAACCCTCACCCTAAACATAACCCCAACCCTAAGCCCAACCCTAAACCTAACCCAAACCTCTGATATCCTGTCAGAGGAACAAACATCAGAAACCACACAGACACAGCTTCCTCAAACACAACCCTGACCCTAAACCTAACCCAAACCCAAATCCTGAACCTAACCCAAACCCTAAACCTAACTCTAACCCTAAAACATCAGACACGACACAGACACAGCTCCTGAAACAATACCCTAACCCCAACCCCAACCCTAAACCTCACGCAGAAGGGAGAGTCCCTAACCCTAAATCTAAACCTAACACTTAACTAACCAGAACCCTAACGCAGAAGGGAGAGTCCCTAACCCTAACCCTAACCCAGAAGGGAGAGACCCTAACCTGGGGCTGCAGGCCTCAGATTGATTGGGAGGTCAGAGTTTGATTTAGGATGCTAATCATTAGTGTCTGCATCCATGTTGGCTGTTTTAGGGTTAGGGTTAGGGTTAAGGTTAGGGTTAGGGTTAGGGTTAGTGTTGTCCTCCTGGTGGCTTTTCAGTGTCTCTGTGTCCACCGTGGTAGAAACGAGCTCCATTCAGTGGGGCTATAACCGAGCAGCCGTTAGCATGTCTGAGAGTCAGCAGGAGGCTTTCATCACACAGACGTGTTTCCCCACCGGAGGATTGCTAAACGTTCCCGTCCTCCTCCGGTCTGAACCTGCTGCAGGTTTAGCTGTAACAGGAACAGGATCCGGTCTGTAACTCACTCCCTCTGTTCTCATTAGTATTAATATCATTGCCATTTTTCATCTAGTCTGTGTGTTGCTGTAGGCTGCCTCTCTCTCTCTCTCTCTCTCTCTCTCTCTCTCAGAGGCAGATGCCCCCCCACCCTGGGCCATGGTTGTGCTCCAGGTTTGTGCCTGTTAAAGGAAGTTTTTCCTTGCCTGTGTCGCCTAGTGCTGCTCATGGTGGGAATTGTTGGGTTTCTGTAATTAACTTCAGAGTAGGTCTGACCTGCTCTGTTTGGAAAGATAACTGTTGTTGTGATGTGGAGCTATAGAAATAAAAAATAAAAAATTGAATGAAACCCTAAAGCCAGGATAGCTGACACTCTGGTCCCAACTCTCCATTAAGGGGTCCTATCATGTGTGGCTCCAGGTCTGGAGCAGACTCTGCATCCCCCCCCCCCCCCCCCTGAGTCTGCGCGGTAGCTCCCTGGTAGAAGGTCATGGATTTTAGCAGAGATGTTGCATAACGGAGCTCCCAAAGTGCACCTGGGTCCGTTTGGGGAGAACCCGGGACAGAAAACCCGTTTCCGGTCCGTGTCCGGTCCCTCTAAAGCTGTTAGTGCCAGCTCGTGCTGAGCAGACATGATGAAGTCTGTCCGGTTTGGCTCCAGCGGAGAAACTCAATCCAAAAATGTGACACCCGGTTTTCCCATTTAAGGATCGGACCTGAGCTCCGGGTGTCGGGTTCCGGCCCCTCTCAGCTGGAGGGTCCGGAAGCTGCACCAGCTGGACCCCAGAAACCCCCATAAGTCCCCATATCTCCGCATACACCCTAACCCTAACCCACACCCCCCTAACCCGGGGCTAGGCCCTCAGACCCGCCCCCCCCGGCCTCTGGTTCTGGTCTACCTGTCAGTTCGGGTCTCGGATCGGCAGCCCCAGGAGAACAGTCTGCAGCCCAGCACCTCCGTCCTGGTCTGGGGGGGAGTGTCCCTCCCCACGGAGGCTCCCACTACCGTAATACTCCCGGTACGGCGCAGGCAGAAACAGCCCGTGCGTGAGCGTCTCCCCGTGCGCAATACAGAGAGTTTACGGGAGGAAGCAGGTCCTCTGGAAGCAAATTATCATATTAAAGTCCCACATTTTTAAACCCCCAAAACTTTAAACACCGTCCGCTGGTAGAATTGAACAGATGAATTTACAGCTGCGCATCACCTACAAACTTTACGGTCACGTGACACGGAAAGAGATTTGGCAGCGACAACAAAATCTAAAAATTAAAGGTTGTGATTAGAAAAAACTACTTTTGGAGAAAAAAGCAGGGTATGAAGAGAGTGTCATTCTTTAGAGTTTCAACGTCACGTTTTCCAGTTAAAATAAATATATTTAATTATGTTTAAAAACATAATAATTGCACTAACAATGTTTATTTTTCATAAAAGTTTTATTTTAATGACACACTTGCTTGTTTCAGTGTTTTTTTTTCAGTGTGTAGAGCTGCTGAGGAACATCCAGTGAGTCCCGGGTCAGGACCCCCCCCCCCCCCCTCCCCACCATTACACCATCAGGCTGCTTCCCCATAAATACACCTTACACAAGGACATGTTGACAGAGGAAGTCAGCAGCCAAACACCAACAGCCCATAAAGAGGGCGGTCTGTAGTCCTCCTGAGCTACAGATGTGTGCTATAACCTATAAACCACTAACAGAAACAGTCCAGTTTTAATAAAAATAAATCCCTATCAAAGCAAACACCAGTGGTTTGTCTTTATTATCCAATAGTTGTTTTACACGGTTCAGATCAGGTTATTGTTCATTTAAATCCATGTTAGTGGATCTGTAGGAGGCAGCTGTCAGTGCTGATGTCCAGGTTATTCAGAGTAACTTAAACAGTCCAGCTTTAATCAAAATAAATGCCAATCAAAGCAAACACCAGTGGGTTGTCTTTATTATTCAATAGTTGTTTTGTACGTTTCAGATCAGGTTATGGTTCATTTAAATCCATGTTAGTGGATGTGTAGCAGCTCTCAGTGTTTCCTCATATATCCAGGTTATTAAACATATCCAGGTTATTAAACATATCCAGGTTATTAAACATATCCAGGTTATTAAACGCCTCCTTCCTGTTCTCTACTGCTGACTGGTGCTCTGTTCCTGGTCAGTCTGGTTGCTATGGTTACTCCTGTAGTCCTCCTGGACGTCCAGATCTCCGTACAGGTTCTGCAGGACCTCCAGGACTCGTCTCTGGACGGAGTCCACCTGCTCCGCCGGGCAGTACTCGTCCAGACTGGACCTGGAAACACAAATATAATATAATATATATAAATATATATTATATCATATATATACCCTAACATATAATATAATATACCCTATATATTATAATATATATAATATAATATACCCTAACCTGTACCTCTACCCCCCACAGCTCCTATCCTAACCCTAACCCGTACCTCTACCCCCCACAGCTCCTTCTGTAGTCCCTCTACCTCTATCTCTATCTCACCACTGACTCTGATCAGGGTTTCTCCTCTGGATAGCTTATTGTCATAGTGATGAGAAATGGAATATTGGGTCTACTCTGTAAGTCGCTTTGGAGAAAAGCTTCTGACAAATGCATAAACATAAAGATAAACATACCTGGACATGGTCACCAGAGTGGGTTTGGGCAGGGCCTCCAGGAACAGCTTTACAGCTAACAGCATCCGGTCGATCTCCAGGTCTGAGCTGACGTGGTGAGGAAGCTCCATGGAGTCACAGGTCAGACCCGCCTGGTGCACCTGGGGGGGGCAGAGATCGGGTTTTACCATCGACTTTATCCCAGGCTCAACGTTCTGGGGAACTGAGGTTCAATCATAAACCGTTTGAAAACTGAGGTTTCATGCATAAGAAAACTGAGGTTTCATGCATAAGCCGTTTGAAAACTGAGGTTTCATGCATAAGCCGTTTGAAAACTGAGGTTTCATGCATAAGCCGACAGCCTGATGAGTATTATCAGAGATATAAAGGACCTCTCAGCCATTTCTCACCATCTCATAATCAGGGTTAGGGTTCCTGGACTTCAGGCTGGAGACCAGACGGGCTAATGAGGCCATGCTGAAAGAAAAACAAACAGAATAAAGGAGTTATTAGAACTGTGTGAAATGAGATGTTCTGTAATTCTTCTCCTCTCAGTCAGGACACCAAATCTGCTTTAAAACATGTTTACCTCTGATAGCTGTGGCCTTGTAGTCCAATATGATACAGTGCAGTGCAAACCACCATCCCAACACAAAGATACAAAAGATACTAGAGTGTATTCTGGGAGAGACCGGACAGACTGGGGAGGGCTGTGGATGGACCAGTTCTCCCATCAAAGCAGGAGGCAGGAATGGAAAGAGCTGGTTCAGTAAAACACCAGGAACCTCTCACCATCTAACCCTAACCTCTGGACCAACCTCTGGACTAACCCTAACCTCTGGACTAACCCTAACCCTGACCCTAACCTCTGGACCAACCTCTGGACTAACCCTAGCCCCCAAACACAGAGAACCCTGGAGGGACCTGTGGACTCAGACAAAATGGCCGCCGTGACCATGTGACGTGAGGACACTAGAGGGCAGCTGTGGCCCGGTTTGGGCTGGTTACAAAGGGTTTAGGGTTAGGTTTCAACCCTAACCCAGGCCTGGAAGAAGGACTCTGGATGTATTCTAACCATATCCCACTATCCCCAACAGAATCCATCCTGTGTTTGTTCATGACCAGATTCTTGAATGAGTCAGAGAGGGGGGGCAGAGGAAGAGGCTGTGGTTTAACCCTAGAACAGAACACAGACAGACGTGGTTACCCGGAGCAACGGGCAAGTCGGGTTAGGGTCTCGTCCCCGTCGTCCTCCAGCAGGTCAGCAAACGCCACCTCCAGGTCCTCCAGCTGACGCACGCGGGCGTCCACACACTCCACCAGCTCCTCCTGGAACACAAACACAACACCTAAACGCCTAAAGATAGCCCCAGGCCTGGGCCTAAAGCTAGCCCCAAGCCTGGGCCTAAAGCTAGCCCCTGGCCTGGGCCTAAAGCTAGCCCCAAGCCAGGGCCTAAAGCTAGCAACAGGCAAAGGTTTAGGCCTAGAATTAGCTTTAGGGGTAGGCTAGGATTAGCTTCAGGGTTAGTTTTAGGATTAGTTTTAGGATTAGGTTTAGGGGTAGCTTTAGGATTAGCTTTAGGGTTAGCTTTAATCTTATCTTTAGGATTA